CCAAACATCAAATGGCCAAAAAACAAATTAATTAAAATTCAACTCAGATCGGGCCACCTAACTTCCATTTCTGCTTCCTTCTGTTTAGCACTCCCTGAAATACAGTCAACTTATGTTACCAACATCATGTTTTCAAGTAAGGCAAAAAGAAAAATGTAATAACTCATAACAACCAATCAGAGCAATCTATTGATGTGACAGACTATTAGCTGCAATCTGATTGGTTGAATTTGGCTACAGTATGTAATGAAGCCTCTTTGCAGTGCTTTATTGAATAATCTGTGAATTTTATGTCCATCATTTCTTTTGTCTTACGCTCATTCCATCCAATCACCTCACCCCCTTCCCTCTCTCTGGCAGGGTTTCTTCCGTCGCAGCATACAGAAGAACATGGTCTACACTTGTCACCGTGATAAGAACTGCCAAATCAACAAGGTGACACGGAATCGCTGCCAGTTTTGCCGACTACAAAAATGTTTCCAGGTTGGCATGTCAAAAGAAGGTGAGTTATGGTCGTGTTCAATCATACACTGCATGGGGTGTAGAAAGAAAATAGATCATTCCAGCAAAAGAGGGGTCAGGCCTTTCACACTGGGCTTTCAGCTAGTTAAAGCTGTGGACTCTGCATTCCTTGTAATCCCAACACCTCATTCTGTCCCTTGGGTGCTCATGTAAATAGATACTTTACAAAGAGAGGCTCCTTGACTCTGGATTCCAGAAGGATAAACATATACTCAAGTAACAATCCTGCCCACTCCTATCATCAAAGTGAGAAACTCTTTATTCCTATTTCCAATGGGGAAAGACTAAAAGAAAACGACAGCGCGTCAGCCCCGTCACCTCTATAATGTCAGATATAGAAAAAAAGTACAATGTAGATCAGAATATAGGAGAATGTGCGCTATGAAACATACCTATTAAACAGCATGATATCAGAGATTGGGGCCGAATAATTAATCTTCTTTATAGTTTACCATCAGTATTCCTCACCTGCTCTCTCCTGTTCCTCAGCCTCAGAGTTCTCATATTAGTGAGTTGTAGGCTCACCCTCCCTCACTAGAGGCACATCCATCATCCCCTCCTTGGAGCCATACTAGACAGTGTAATGGCAGACAGGGAGTCTGTATTTGTATTATTGTCATTTGCTGTTCGGTCTTTACATACGCTGTACATGTTCTTTTGTTCAAGTGACCTCACTGTTATATCTGCACACAATTCTTATTTATTGTTCCTATCTATTTCCTTCTCGTAATCTTACTCCCAACTATCTTCCTTGTTAGCTCCTAGGTTGTCTCCATGTAGCAGTTCTCTTTTCTAACTTTTGTTTGGGTTAAATTTACATTTTATTTGCTCAGCTTTTTTCTCTCCAATTACAATCTTTTTTCTTTCTTTCTTTTCTTAACCTGCTACTTCATTAATCAGCCTATCTTCTCTACATTGTCTCTTTTGTTCTCTCTTCACCTTATTGTGTTTTTTTTTTTAACTTCTTACATCCTCTGTTTCTTATTACTCTCCTTTTTCCTATTTTCCCCTCTCCGCTATCCATTATTTTTCACTGTTTCTCCTTTTCTCCCCCCCCCATCCCCTCACTTTTGCTCCCCTTTTTCTCTTTCCCTGTCTTCGTGTCTCATTCTTTGCCCACGTCTCTCTCTCTCTCTTTGTGTCTCACTCTCTGCCTTTCTCTCTCTCTCTCTGTCTCACTCTCTGTCTTTCTCGTTGTGTCTGTCTCACCCTCTAGCTTGGTCTCTCTCTTTCTCACTGTTTCGCTCTATACCTTTTTCTCTATCACTTTCAAATTTTTTACCTTTCTCTCTATCGTTGTCTCACTCTCTCTGTCACTCTCTAACTCTCCCCTTCTCTCCATCTTTCTCTTCCACCATCTCTCTCACTCTCTACCTTGCTCTCTTCTACTCTCTACTTTTCTCTTCCTCCCTCTCCCTCACTCTGTACCCTTCTCTATCTCTCTCTTTCACTCTCTCTCTCTTTTATCTCTTTCACTCTCTACCTTACTCCCTCCTTCTCTCCACCTTTCTCTTCCTCTCTCCTCATCCTCGCTCTTTATCTTCTCTCTCAGTCTCTCAATCTCTATTTTACTTTCTTCTCTCTACCTTTCTCTGCCTGACTCACTCTCTATATTTCTCTCTTTCTCTCTCTCTGGATCTCTGTCTGTTTCTCCCTTACTCTTTACCTTTCTCTCTTTGTCTCTCTCACTCTCTACCTTACTTTCTTCTTCTCTCCACCTTTCTCTTTCTATCCGTCGCTCTTTATCTTTCTCTCTCTGTCTCTTTCTCTCTATCTTACTTTCTTCTTTTCTCTACATTTCTCTGCCTGACTCACGCTCTTTCTTTCTCTCTTTCTCTCTCTCTGGATCTCTGTCTGTTTCTCCCTTACTCTACCTTTCTCTCTCTATGTCTCTCTCTCACTCTCTACCTTACTTTATTTTTCTCTCTACCTTTCTCTGCCTGACTCACTCTCTATCTTTCTGTCTTTCTCTCTACCTTACTCTCTTCTCTCTACCTTTCTCTGCCTGACTCACTCTCTATCTTTCTGTCTTTCTCTCTACCTTACTCTCTTCTCTCTACCTTTCTCTGCCTGACTCACTCTCTATCTTTCTGTCTTTCTCTCTACCTTGCTCTCTTCTCTCTACCTTTCTCTGCCTGACTCACTCTCTATCTTTCTGTGCTTCTCTCTACCTTGCTCTCTTCTCTCTACCTTTCTCTGCCTGACTCACTCTCTATCTTTCTGTGCTTCTCTCTACCTTACTCTCTTCTCTCTACCTTTCTCTGCCTGACTCACTCTCTATCTTTCTATCTTTCTCTCTACCTTACTCTCTTCTTCTCTCTACCTTTCTCTTCCTCTCCCTCATTCTCCACCTGTCTCTTCTCTCTCACACTCACTCTGTAACTTTATCAACCTGTTTCTATATCACGCACTTTCTAATTCTTTCTTGTGCTTATTGTCAATTTTGTTCTCCCTATCCACCTTTCTGTCTCCTGTGTCTAAATCTAGCACTTCCTAATTCTCTCTCCTGTTCTCCTTCTCTCTCTCTCTCTGTCTAGTTCTCTTGTTCTCGATTTCGCCCTCTCTAGCCCCTATCTTCTCTCAGCTCAGTCTGTGTGCCCTTCTCATGCTATAAGTGGGTTTCCGGCGCCTGGCTTCCTGTTGTTAGGGTCCTGCACACTTTATCCCGAGGTGAAAAGGAAGTTCACAAGGAAACGTGTGAGGAGAGTCAGGACACAGGGGAGTAGGGTGAGAGAGAGCAGCACTGTGACATGTACAGTAGGGAGAAATGCAAGTAAGGTCCTCTCCCTAAAGGTAAACTTTACTTAACAACAGAAATAAGGCAAATTGTATTACTGAAAAGCAATGTCAGTGTTCATCTGCCTTAGTATGCCTTTTATATGTGTGCTTTAATTTCTATTTAGCACTTTTGTAGTAGCATCAGTTCTGGTACATATCCTAGGCTGCTGGAATAAAGAGGCAGCGGTATATCTTAATATTCAAGTTACTGACTTCCCTTGTCACATAATGTGTTTATTTAAGGACATCTCTGAAAAGTTAATAAGATTGTTAAGAGGCTCTTTGCCTGTAATATTTTCTCTGAATTCGACTTGTCACTTGTCTTTGTCTTCATGATTTTGAAGAATGTTCAATTTGTCTTGCTTCTCCATAAATGTATACAGTGGTTGGTTTTTAGAAAGATATATGGCAGAAAGAACTTAGAAGAGACTAGGGATTTAAAAGAGCAGTCAGGTCATCCATCTCTATCCCCTGCGGTGCTTCAAACCTACCACCTGCAGGCATGGACAAAGGTCACATTTCAGGGTTAAAGTTCAGACCAGGAGATATTTTGTATTGATGCTCAGACAGCAGACACAAGTCTAGTATGCTCTTCCCCGAAAATACAGTGTTGCCTCTAGCAGAGATTGATTGCGATGCTTCCAAAAAAAGACATCTGACCCTAATAGGTACAATATGATCATCATACATTTTAATTACATTCCTCTGGCTTTTCATATTCTTTTATCCACTTAAAAAGCAATTCCCTATAAAAGTGTCTTTCAGAATTCATTTTATTAGATTGAAGATCCCGTAGTACTTGCAAAAGTAAGTCTCCAATTTTTAGGAAAGTTTATATACATCCCCAGATCTGCTTACCAAAGAAAGGTTAGATTCCTAACAACTGGCAGTAGTTGAAGGGGGTTTCCACATTAAACAGAAAGAAGACCTCTGATCTCTGCACTGACAAGGAGAGGTCCTGTTCTCTTAAGCAACTGCCATCTTCTACCACCTCGTGTTTGTATTGGCTTAGAGAGCCATGACCACTATTAAAGCTAAATCAACAAGCTACTATTCCTGCTATTCCTGCTTTCATGCTGCTGGTGAAATGTGGACCTGGCCAGAGGTGAGAGTATTACTAAATTTAGAGGTTTGAAAGGGTTCACTTCTGGATAAAGTAAAAAAAAAACTTTAAAAGAGCACACAGCTTTGCACCTTCTGAAAGCAAAGAGCCTCTGTAATAACATACAAGTGGTCAAACTGAGGAGTCATGTCAATAAGGATTCACATTGGGTTTTTTTGAAGGCCACACACAAAAGTAAGGTTAACACAATTGTCCCTCTATTAATTCAACCACAGTTTTAAATTGTATTGTAATTACTGCTGGCAATGCATGCTGTGAACTACAGCTGTAAACAGCCGCACCAGTTAGAGGTCAGCAGAGAGTCTATATCATGCCAAATTAATGGGGACGTAGAGGATGTTCAGTAGGAGGGAACACCATAGCTCCTCTCTGCTGTTCTTTTGGAAGCAAATTCCTCTTTACTCCTAAGTTGTTACTCTTTTTGAGTCTGATGCACAGACCTCTATGAAAATGTACCCTTTAACTACCAAAAGTGTCATACTACACTAATCTTTTCATCCAGCTCTAAATTTTGCATTTGGTATTTATTAAAGCCAGTATATTAGAAAAGTAAATATGAAAATAAAGCACTTGTGGGTGTAAGCAATCATTTTTGACATTGTACTTTTTCATGGGCCATGCAACTGGGTGAGTGGTATAGGTATGTCCTTTGCCTTGATACTTTCTGCAAAAATGTGTCCCTCTTTCTCATCTTAGCAAGTTAGGGGAATATAAGGCTAATTGTGCATTGTGTTGTGTTTTGTGCAGCGGTGCGAAATGACAGGAACAAAAAGAAGAAGGAGGTGAAAGAAGAGGTGGTGGTATCAGACAGCTATGAAATGCCTCCTGAGATGGAAGAGCTTATTCAGAAAGTCAGCAAAGCTCACCAGGAAACCTTCCCTTCACTTTGCCAGCTTGGCAAATACACTACGGTAAGACTGGTGGGCTGTGAATAACTAATCTGCATAGCGGCTGCCTGACTCAATAAAATTCCCCATTTCCAACATGAGATTACAGAGAGAACAGAAAAAAATCTCAGCTATTTCACTACTGTAGTGGAAGGTAGTCCTAAAAACAATAGCATAGTACAAACGTGGGAATGTGATTGTTGTATGAGCAGTGATGATCGTTTTGTTTTCTTGCAGAATTCCAGTGCTGATCATCGGGTACAACTGGACCTTGGTCTGTGGGATAAGTTCAGTGAACTTGCCACTAAGTGCATCATCAAGATAGTGGAATTTGCCAAACGTTTACCAGGCTTCACCACGCTGAGCATTGCTGACCAAATCACCCTGTTAAAGGCAGCATGCCTTGACATTCTGGTGAGTACTTACCGGTAGTAATTGGTAGAACAATTGCTGGCATACTCCTATATCCCTCTAGTCAGTCTTTCTTTTTTTAAGTGATCCTGATAATTCAGCATTGCCTGCAATTTTCAGCAGACAGTATACAATTTCTTGCCCTAGCCTTAACACCATTGCAGTTCACCAAGCCTCATCAAATTCATCAGTTAGATAATGTCACCATCATATCTTACTTTTAGTTCTTTTCTGCTGCAGCTTCCTATGGGTAGCAGTATATCTGCTAAAATCTATGAGATCAGTCCTCTTACAAATGTGCAAGTGCCCAGCATTTTTTGGGGGTCTTATTCTGGTTAGTCAGCCAACCTTGACCTGGTGGGACAGTTAGGGAAAGTGATGTTAGTGAATATGTATGCAACCCCGCTATGCCACATTCAATCATCAAAGTGAAGCGAATGCAGCAAAAGGACAGTACAAACTATCTGGTCATAATAAAATGGGCCAAAGAGGAACCAAAAAAAAATCACAAATAAAAATGAAAGTGTTTTTTATAAACAGTTGATGTTCCTAGCTCTCATCAGGACAAGATAAAAATTCCATGGAGCATTTTATTGTAGAATTTTTGGTTTCCTTTGACCCAAATCACCACATCCTTAATGGTCAGCTTGTGGCTTCTGAAGTCCTACTTTCTAAATACAATGGGTTTCTTATTCTGCATTGATGAATGCTACAAGGGTTGAAACTGTTCTCTGCACTCTGACCCAGCCACACACCACATTACCTACCCTCTTCTTCATTCTAACTAGATTTTCCAACATTTCGGGTTTAATAGTAAACAAGGACAAATCATCAGCCCTCAACATTTCTCGCCCTGTAGAGGACATAAATATACTAAAACAAAACTACAACTTTACCTGGCCCCCTGCGCATCTAGAATACCTAGGGATCAACCTTAAAAATTCCTACTACACTCTCTATGAGGCCAACAATACCTCAACATTCTGTTCTCACAACACTCTACTTACAACCTGGTTGCACCAACCTCTCTTGTGGATGGGTAGAATAAATGCAGTAAAAATTACTATCCTCCCCAAACGTCTATACCTATTCCGCACCCTCCCTATCCCAATCCCTTCTTATGTCCTGAAATCTTTTCAGAATCAAATTTTTTGCTTTATTTGGGCCAATAAAAGATCTCAGGTCACTAAATATACTATGCTCACACACTGGAAACAGGGGGGCTTGGCGGTTCCTAACTTCTCCAAGTACTATGTGGTTGCTCAGATCGAACCTCTATCCTCATTAAATGCAGCACAACAAGCCCCCATATGGGTAACTTTAGAAACGCTCTCTTGCCACCTGATCTCTCTTGCCTCACTCTTATGGCTCCCCCCCCGAGAAGAAGATGAAAGAAAGAGCGCACAAACCTTGCGCATTACCTCAATAAATAGTGACTAATTTTATTAATAAGGAAATATACTCACAAAATGATTGTATAACAGGCATAAGTAACCATAATCCAAACAGGGTTACAGGTAAACCAAAAAGGGGGGGTATGAAGGCTAACGCGTTTTGAAGGGTGCTCCCTTCTTCATCAGAGCTGGGTTTGGCAGATAGAAACTTCAGTATGGCAGAGTTCCCATGGCAAGGAGATATTCAGCCACTGAGTGTCAGTATTACAGCAGTTCAGCCTGTTTAGTGTCTACACTAAACAGGCTGAACTGCTGTAATACTGACACTCAGTGGCTGAATATCTCCTTGCCATGGGAACTCTGCCATACTGAAGTTTCTATCTGCCAAACCCAGCTCTGATGAAGAAGGGAGCACCCTTCGAAACGCGTTAGCCTTCATACCCCCCCTTTTTGGTTTACCTGTAACCCTGTTTGGATTATGGTTACTTATGCCTGTTATACAATCATTTTGTGAGTATATTTCCTTATTAATAAAATTAGTCACTATTTATTGAGGTAATGCGCAGGGTTTGTGCGCTCTTTCTTTCATCTTCCTCTACAGTTTTATTAAGCTTCCCTAGCTTCATGATAGAGCTGCACAACCTCTGATCACCGGTGGAGGAATACACAACACGCTGCTTGTCACTAACGCCTGTTTGATCTGAGTCCTTGAGCGCAGGAGATAATGGATCTTTGGGGACTTCCCCCCCCCCCCCCCCGAGATCCAGACCCACATCTATCAGTCCTCTAATGGCCTGCTTACTGCTTTTATAGGAATCCAAAAAATACACCATCGGCCTAATCTCTCTTCAGCTACCACTCCTCCCCCTCGTGGGCAATCCTCTGTTTCATTTCATTGGTGGACTTCCCACAACCTGCAATGTATCCATTTATTTCTCACGGGCCGTTCAGTTTACACCTGGGCAGAAATAAGGGACAAATATCAACCCCCCCCCCCCCACAGAACTTTTCCGATTTCTACAGATTAAACATTGGGTAAATTCAGTCCTTGACAATAAAGACTCGAGCACACAACTATCCCTGTTTGAACACATTTGCCACTGGACGCCTCTCTCTCCTAAACTTATCTCTATCCTTTATTCACAACTGACTAATCTACAGAACCCCAACAATCATGCTTATGTTTCCAGATGGGAAAGGCACTAAAGATCGCGCATGCTGGTCACAGATATGGCGAACTCTGACCTCATGCTCCATCAACGTCCTCACCATGGAATCAGCTTTCAAAATGGTGACAAGGTGGTATCTTGTCCCATCCCATTTTGGGTTTCGTCACCCATCAGCCCCCAATATTTGCTTCCGAGGCTGTAACGCACAGGGAGATGTTCTACACATATGGTGGACATGCCCAATGCTTTCCCTGTTTTGGTCAAAGGTTCTCAAACTAATCCAATCATTACTTACTTGTCCCTTCCCAAGAGACCCTTGGTATACTCTCTTACACTTAAAATCCCTGGGCTTGTCCAAACACCAATTTAAACAAGCCACCCATGTACTATTGGCAGCCAAACAAACCATAGCAAAAGCCTGGAAACAGCAGTTTGTATCCTTCACAGAAGTCTTCCTTCTTAATAAATGAAAAATTGTCTAGCATTCTGTCAAACACCCATGATAGGTTCCTTAAAACTTGGACTCTATGGATCCAACACGTCCACCCCGAGTTTTCAGTGGATAGATTCACCTCCCTATAGCCTTATTAAACCTTATACACCAAACTCAAGTGCCTTAGATATTCACCCCCCAATCTGTCTCCACTTTCTCCCCTTTCTCTTCTTTCTGGCTCTTCCACAGGGATGCTTCATGAACCACGAGGTGTTCTATACATCTCCCGTCTCGATAGCATATCCTTAATGATATAATCCTTTTATCAACGTCGGCCGATGAGCTACAGATAGGTAGCCTTTTCTGTTCACTAACCAATTATACACAAAATGTATGTTTTATTTCTGTTCTTTTGACAAGTTATCTATAATGTTACTTATTATAATTCTGTTCCACTTGTATACAACTACTATTGACTGCTGTTCATTATTGTAACTTTTTCTTTACATACTAGAAAGCAGTCAAGTTTGTACTTTGTACTTAAAAATACAAAAAAAAAAAAACCCAATAAAAACATATTGAAAGGAAACTGTTCTCTGCAAGTTAGATATGCATATGGTTTTTCTATACTTTGTACTCTGTAAACCAGCTGACCTATGGGGTGCAAAGAAATAATTTGCATGGCCCCACATACTAGCCTTAAATCATGAATAAAAAACTTTTTTTTCAATGACATGTATAGAGCTGTGGCTCTAAGCCTGGGTTCACACTGATGCGGTGCAGATTGCAGCGGTTTCTGTGCGAATTCCGCAATTCATCACAATCGCAACCCTTTCATGCGAACCGCTGCGGGTGTGTTGAGTTAATCGGTCCGGAAAATGCAGTGCAATGTGCAGAATCGGAGTGCAGGGGTGTGAATATCCATGTAAGCCGATTCTAGTGCAGACCAAAAAAAGGGTCCTGCTCCTTTTTGGTGCAGATGCAGTGCGATTTTAGCCATACAATGCGATATGCTGCACCGCACAACTGTGAACCCAGGCTGAAAGGGAGATGTGGAAATGAATCAAGAAATACCTGTCTGGGTTGCATAGTTTGAGTTAATTTCTTGGCAGTCTTCACACCTATTTAACAGATCAAAATAAAGATCCTTAGATTCAAATGTTTCTATTGATCACATAGTAATAACTATCGCATAATGAGCAACACATCTAATAGGACAGAATCTTTTTTTTTTAGTTTGTATTTAGCCCTAATTCTTTAGACACAAATAGCAACTCAGAGTGTGCCATTTTAAAGGGTATTAAATCTACTTCCACACTATAAAGTTTAGTAGTCGCTCCAAAAAGATGCAATTGCAAGACGGGTGGAAAAAAGATGCAATTGCAAGACGGGTGGATGGCCACCCCCTTACCTTTCTGATCTACAAAAATTACATGACAAACTATGGAGTTAGATGTGGTTAATAATAGTGTGAACAAACCTTACATATGACACCACTTAAAAGAAAGCTGTCACAAGAGAAACAGTGAGGTTTATTTATTACAAGTACAAACTGCATATCAGACTATCAATTTACGCAGCACTTTCCATATCCATATATATATCTATGTACTATATTGCCAACAGTATTGGGACACCTGCTTTTACACGCACATGAACTTTAATGGCATCCCAGTCTTAGTCTGCAATCTCTGCAATACATACATATCTTCCCATTTTTTATCCCCTAAAAACACTGCAAAGACAAAACAATACCTGCTGATCTGCAGGAAATCCAGTGTGCTCCTATCATCCTGTTAAGGCTGACAACACAGTGCCCTTCCCAGTGAATTCCCAGCCAGTTGTCAACACTGTCAACCCTTCTTGCTGACATTCAGAATTCCACTTATTTCCTGCCCCTCAGTAACCCTTTCTACATCCATACATTGATTTATTTCCCAGCAAAATAATGCTGCTGTTTTTATGCTACACAAACACTTCAGAAGGAAACAAAATAATGCTGGGACATGCTCTAGTGGGGGAGAAGGGTGTGGGATTACATTTTGGTAATGCCTGGACATACCCTTAAACCTGCCTAATGGAACTTTGCCTTGTCAGTAGTACTCATATGAATAAACTGATTTAGGGCAGTTCACACTACATGCGTTTCAGTTGCTTTTTTTCTGCATTCAAAACGCACAGAAAGTAGGTTATATGGTTGTCAATGTCATAATTCACATCAGTGCTTGCAGTTCCAATGCGTTGCGGTTGCAGAAAAAAAAGTAGAACAGGCTGCATTTTTCCTGCACAGAATCATACTGGAACATGTAAAAAACGCATAAAAAACGCACCAGAACATGCCAAAAACACGTCAAAACACGCATGCGGAAAGCATCCGGACTGTGTTTCTATACTGTGAACTGGCCCTTATAGCCTGACATGTGGATGATGCTTCTAACTGTATTCAAAGTGCATGTTCCTCCTTACATATTATTTGTAGGATGTCATAGGTTCATCTGTATTATTTGTATGTGCTGGGATTTACAAAGCAAACCTTATGTTTTATTGACAGATGCTGCGAATTTGCACACGTTACACCCCAGAACAGGACACCATGACCTTTTCAGATGGACTGACCTTGAACCGGACTCAGATGCACAATGCTGGTTTTGGTCCCCTTACAGACTTGGTGTTTGCCTTTGCTGGTCAGCTGCTCCCATTGGAAATGGATGACACAGAAACAGGACTCTTGAGCGCCATCTGCCTAATCTGTGGAGGTATGACACTCATTATGAAACCTATATTTAGTGTGTATATAACATTTTTAATGAATGAGCATTTTTTGCCACGGGAAAAGTTAACATGCACAAAGAGCAAATCAAACCTATAAAGTGTATAATTTTAGTAATACTGACAATAGAGTAATTTAGGTTTTTAGCTAGTTGTCACAATCTATTATTTACTGATAAATGCCTTATGTTCCATTACTGGAACGTAGTGATGTGGGAGTTATTCATATCCTACTGCTCAAGGTCATTGCAGAGGTCTGATTTTTCACAATTCAAAAAATTTCAACCTCAGACACAAATGACCTAAATCCTAAACAACATAAATCATTACATTTATTTTTGATTTAAGTATCCTTTTACATATACAATTCTAGCCCCAGATAAAAATGTAGTTATACCACTCCCCTGGAAAGCTGCTCTCTCATTTCTGATCCACAGATCAATATATTCAGAAGCAGTGTTTAAAAAAATGAAATGGTGAAGGTTTTTAGTGTTGATTTTTGTATATTTAAGTTTGTAGTTTTTCGCAAAGCCCCATGCATTTTATAAAGTCTCATGACTACTAGACATACTGGAATAAGCAGTAAATATTCATTTTGGAATGTATGAGATCAATAAGAAAAACTGTATATGTTTTAATATACAGTATATGACAAAATGCCAATTATCTACAACATGATTCACAATGCTTTAGCAAGCCTACAGCAAACCTACTGTTGGCCAGTTAGAGTTTACATGTACTTAAAGTGGAGCTCCACCCAAAAGGAGAAGTTCCGCTTTAATGCTTTGTCTCCCGCTCCCCATTAAGGATTGGCACCTTTGGGGAGTGGGGGGGGGGGGGGGGTACCCGAATTTGACAGGTACCTGCTCCCACTTCCGCTGCAATCGCCTAGGTGATTGGAAGCGAAAGTTGTCCTCCCCTCCTCCCTCCCTGTAGTCTTCTGGGACACGTGACAGGTCCCAGAAGACTATGGGCCCATTCACAAAGCGCAGCCGGGTGTCCACACTAAAGATGCCAGCGGCAGGGGAAGAAGATGGCTGGTGAAACCAGCGGTGGGGAGGAGACCGCTGGACCGAGGGACAGGTCAGTGGCTGTATTTTAAAAGTCAGCAGCTACAGTTTTTGTAGCTGCTGACTTTTATTTTTTTTTTTTTTTTCAGCTGGAACTCCGATTTAAGGTCAAAGCATACTGCAACCAGAAACAGTTGTCACACGTGGCCACCACAAATGCCATTACTGGAGTGGCATAGAGGATTGCAAGAGTTTATGTGACACATTAAGTTACATGATATGAATCATTGGTTTGGATTTATCTCCTGTAGATCGGATGGACTTGGAAGAGCCAGAAAAGGTAGAAAAGCTTCAGGAACCATTACTGGAGGCACTTAAATTTTATGCCCGAAGACGACGACCTAACAAACCCTACATGTTCCCACGCATGCTTATGAAGATCACTGACCTGCGTGGTATCAGTACCAAAGGTAATACCCGACACAATAAACACAGATGTATTCTGTGTGCCAATTACTAGTTGTGTACAGAGATGCAGGTGATATTTTTACAGGAAGTTCAGCACTGCATTTTCAGTGTCCAGATAAAGATCAGTGGGAGAAAGCACTAACACCTTTTTATATTCACAATCTACTCAACATGTGTAGCTAAAGTGATAATTACAAAGCTCTTTTGCTATTGTAAGGTTGTTGTAAGAAATACAAAACAATTTCACACTTTAAAATAAAACTAGTAGCTAAGATTTATAAAGTGCCCAGTGACTTTTATACTAGTAGCATAGGACATTTAATGTGTATTGTGCATATTTTTCTTTGCTATCTAAATCTTGTGTGCTCCATTTGTGGATTTATTTTTAAAAGTGGATTTTATTCATGTTTCTGTTTTTTATTATATTTATTATACGTATTTATTCATAATTTTGTGGTGTGTAAACTCTTGCATTGGACACATAGATATAACACAAGTCCAACATTCCAGAGCATTATTTACAATAGACGCTGTGTTATATATTAATTATATGCATAAATGTAAAAGCTGGGCATATTTAGCAAGAATGTGTTTTAAACAACTCTGTGGACAGTGTTACTATGAAAAAAACCATGCCAGCTTTTTCTCTGTGATGGTGTGTATAGCTTAGAAATGAATTGTTTTATAATCTTTTATTACTTTATGACAGGTGCAGAGCGGGCAATCACATTAAAGATGGAGATCCCAGGACCAATGCCTCCGCTGATCCGTGAGATGCTGGAAAACCCTGAGGCTTTTGAAGATGGTGCTGACACTCCTAAACCCAGTGAACCTCCGTCCAGCAATAGCAGTGAGGGCAGTCCTACGGAGGAGGACAGCAGCGGTTCCAAGACCCCTTAGCCATGCTACACAAGCAGGGGAGGATGCCCTGCACCGTGAACTTTATCCAAGAGCCATTTTGGCTTCACCCTCTGTTATATGAGGCATTCCAGGGTGAGCCAGTCAAGCGGGGTTACCTGCCTTGCTTGGTGCTCAATACTGCTCTTATTTACTGATGCAAAAAGCCTTACTCACTGAGAGGACTGGGATGGGACTTCTATTACAATCAGTAATGCTCCCAACACATCATAGGGGATCTGTGTGACTCCAGATATGGGCACTGCAATTTCTCCCCCAAAAAACTATATAATGAAGCGAATGATGCTTGAAAGTGAACTGGAATGTATCCAGGAGCCCACTCTGCTCACTCAGTATTTTGCCAAAGATTCTAATGACCATTGACCCTATGCAGAAGAGACTGTGAGAACGAAGTGCGAGCTGGTGTGTTCAGCGATATCAGCACAAGAGAGAACAACTTTCCTCCATGGGTCAGAAGCACATTGCTCTGTTTGTACATATGCATATACTTATATATACAAGCACACATATATATACATATATGGATGTGCATCATTAAATATATTTGCTATTGCAATGTTTTTATGCTTACATTTTTTTCATTGGCTAAACGAGGTCATATGACTACAAATAAAGCCTGTTATACTTATAAATCAGTGTATGTGAGTTAAGATATAAGATCAGTTGTATGGCATCATCTCTTTATTCATAAGCGGTATAGTCCTGATGATGAATTCTTAGGGCAGAAATTTATTTTACAGAAACATTCAACTGTATCTAAATCCAAAAACAAAAATGTAACATATTGTAGCCTACTTTTCTTTATATGTGGGTGACTGCATTTGTTTTATTTTTATTCAGCTTTTTTCCCTTTTCTTTCACCTGGTGATCCTACCAGTAACATACTTCCTGTCCTATTGTGACAACACCCACTCATGGGAGGAGCAGCATTGTCACCCTAGCAAGTTAGGAGCTCACTGGATTTCCAGCAGGATGAACAGGTATAACACAATATTTTCCTTGCTATATTTAGCAGGCCAAAAGGGATTTAAGATATTGATGCATACTGCATTCAATTTATCTGTAAGTCTTATGGAAATAATGTCCATTAACTCAATGGATGAAGTTGTTCCTCTACTGACACAGCAAAATAGAGAGTCTTTGGCCATAAGGGAAGGCCCCAGTTTCACCTATTTAGATGTGTCATGGAATGAGATGTTTGCCTCCTGGTCTTCAGATGCTTCTGTCCCTATGGAAACACATGAATAGTTATATCTTTTTAGCATATAGATCAGAGCCAGGTGGCATGTTTTTTAAAGCCTGACTCTAACCAATATCAGATAAAACCAGATACAGTAAGAGAAGATAAATTAATGGTGTTAAAATAACTCACAGATTTATTGAAATGACCCAAATAGCAATGGGGAAGGCAATAATATTATACAAGTTGAGTATCTTGAAAACAAGATTTACATGGTGGCTGCACACATTTTATATGATTCCAACACTCCTGACAAAACTCCAGGAGTGAAATATGTTGAGTTCTAGTTAATTATTGGTTGTTTTTTTCTATTGTGAGCACCTGTTTGAGCACCTTTTATTCCTACTTTATGGGATGGAGATCTGACAGCCATATATATGCATCTGGCACCCATAGGTGAAAGTGTGGCTATTGGATAGCTTATATGTATTCTGATAAATGCAATACTAACTATGAGGTTGGGGCAGCTCTAGATATAAAGGAACAAGAGCTAGAAGTCCATTTTTTTTTATTATTATTATTATACAGGATTTATATAGCACCAACAGTTTGCGCAGCACTTTACAAAATGAAGGTAGACATTACCGTTATGATACAATTTGGTACAAGAGGAAACAGAGGGCCCTGCTTGTTAGAGCTTTTCCCCCTTCCTTTTAGAGCTATTTCACCAGTAATAGCTTTCAGTCAGTAATCTATGGTGAGCATTGCCTTTTTTCAGTTACGGGTGGATAAAGATGTATATCATGCATTACCATCCTAGTCAAGACTTGAGTGAATATTTTTTTACCCTTTTAGTAGTGCTGTCAATCATTAGTTTGAAGACATTAATATATAGTTTTCATACTATGGTTTTTTGGTGTCAGGTGAGGATAATCAATTTTCCTCTGATGTTTTTGGGGGTGATTTATGATATGGCTGATTAGACCTCCATCCTTAGGTGTTACAACATATGAGACCCTTAATCTTATACTTTTGTATATTGTATATGAAAAAAAATCATACCTATATGATTAGGTAACTTAGCTTTCCAGTGGCTTTTGGTGCGTGGGTATGCGCACCCCCATTCTGAGATTTAGCACTCATGGGAGGAGAAGCATTGTCACCCTAGGAAGTTAGAAGCTCATTGGATTTCCATCAGGATGAGAAGGTATAACACAATGTTTTCATTGCTATATTTAACAGGCCAAAGGGGCTTTAGGGTATTGATGCACACTGCATCCAATTTATCTGTAAGGCTTATGGAAATGTCCATTTAATCAATGGATGAAGTTGTTTTAATTGTTCCTCCACTGACCCAGCAAAATAGAGAGTCTTTTTGGCTATATGGGAAAGCCCCGATTTCACCTATTTAGGTGTGTTATAGAATGAGATGTTTGCCTCCTGGTCTTCAGATGCTTCTGTCCCTATGGAAACACATGAATAGTTATATCTTTTTAGCATATAGATTAAAGTCTGACTCTAACCAATATCTGATAAAACCAAATACAGTAAGAGAAAACTGACATAAGATAAAATAATGGTGTTAAAATAACTCAAAGATTTATTGAAATGACCCAAATAGCAATGGGGCAGGCAATAATATTATATAATTTGAGTATCTTGAAAACATGGTGAGGACACGTCAGAAGAGAGCTGGACTGCATATAGGACTGTAGGGTTGCTGGGTACATGTTTGTGACTGTTTAAAGTGATTCTATCGCTAAAATAAAAATGCTAAATGTGCCTCCTGCAAAGAAGAATCACCCTTCCTGCTACCTGTGCCACCACTAATTGTTGCTGTATTGATGAGGAACCACCATTTGACAACCCTTCAGAAACAGACACTTCTGGAAGTATGCTTGTTTTTCATTACAGTACTAATAAAAAGCACTGATATTTATCCCTTGCTGTGCTGGGGGTTGGGGCTCGAGAGATTCATACTCCCTAGTTGTAGAAAATTAATTCAAGAGGAATCAGGTCTGTCTGTACCTGGTATATGTGCCTCGGTTGGAGACTATAAGGTCCTCCATGCTCTTGATTTAGTTTACCTTCGCTAATCATGGTGCTACACACACAGCTTTTGGAGGTGTTAAACAAGTGGGGTAGGATAGATCTTCTGTACATGCACTTCGGGAAGTTATTGCAATAAAGCAAAAACATTACTCGGTCATCAGGCAATCCTATGGTTTGTAGCGTTTTGAGAAATGCAGCAGACCTTGGTGTCTGCACCAGCAAGTGAGATTTTTCAAGCTGGATTCTTGTTATTTTACAATGATGTTATCTCATCGATAGTTTTATATGCAGATCACATTCCCAGTTTGCAATGTACACAGGGCTGTGGATAAGGGGTACCACCAGTCCTTCTGTATAGGGCCCAGGCCAGCAGGGGGGCCCAGGCAGTTTGGGTGATGGACATGGCAGGGGGGCAATTACTGAAATGGATTCCCTGGATGGCTCTCTCTGCAGCTTCTTCTCCTCTCCCTCTCTCTGGCTTTCAGCTGCAGAGAGAGCCATAGAGGGAATCAATTCCAATAATTGCCCCCCCTCGCTGCACCCATCACCCTCCCTGTGCACCATACATCTCCCCCTGCTGCCCAGGCCCCCCTGTGTATCCCACCTTCACAGTGCTGCTGGCTTCCCTTCTTTCCTTTCCACTGACAGCTGCAAAAACACAAAAGAATCCTTCAAGATGGAGAGTGGGGGAAGGGTAAATATGTCACATTTATCAGACCCTTCCTTTTCTGAATGAACACAATGAATGATCAGTACTGATCACTCACTGTGTTCGTCCATAACTGAAACATAGTAAAGTGTGTTTTTTTTTTGGGGGGGGGGGGCTGTTTGGTTGGCTGTATGTGTTTCCTAACAGCAGCCCTGAATGTACATGATAATATAGTTTTTAGAAGGTAAAAGTAACAAATTAAACACCAGAGAAACTGTATGTCTAAGGGGACCTGAATGTGTGCATATCTTTCCAAACCACGTAAGAGGTCTATTTTTGCTTTTTGGGTTTCATTGCGGAGGTCTTCCTTTACTTCCTCTCTAGGAGATATAACAGAAAGAGAGAGGGAATTTCTACAAAGTGAGGGAAATTCCCCTCTCCATGACAATTGTCATGTGTCCCCATTAGAACGTTTATACCCATCTTTTGTTCTGGTGGCTACTCCAAATGCTTGAATCACTTTATGTTCCAGTCACAATAGTCATGAGGCAAATAGGGTAATTCATCCCAAAAGGGACTAAGAGAAAAATAAAGACTTAACAATTAAAAAAAAAGATTTGGATTTACTTACACTTTAAAACACGTTATATACAATTATAAAAACTGATGAAAAACATCACAATAAAGAAGACAGAATAATAGAACATAACTGTGTTGTGTGTGGACTGAATATGGTACTCAGAACAGCAATGAGAAAATGTAAAGCACACAGTACAGTAACCAGTATCAACCATCTGATACAATCCATTTAGGAAAGAGTGCAGAAATTCAAAGCATCCCGTCACATTTTGCATTTAATTAGTTTAAAGGAGACACAAAAAATAACACATTTGTTGATTGCTGATTAATTGGTAAAGATTGCTGCACTAGTGGGGTCCTGGCAAGGGGGTGAAGGCCCCCAAACTACTCTTGGTGTCGCCAATGGTGACAGCCACTGAGTGATGGAACTTCTCTTAATACTATATACACATAAGGAAAAATTGGCCCAGGCAAGTGTGGTGGCCTCATACCCAGAAGAAAATGGGAACTCACCTTTAGCAG